TTGTTCATCTTAGTAATGTAATCATTTTATGTGCTCATATATCAGCTGTCTTTATTTATAGTAGTTACCACAAAGTATTTGTCTACCGGCTTTTGCAAAGGTAATTTTTGTTTTTAGCTAACTAAAGTAAATTTTCTTACCTTCCTTATGTTTTTTAAGGAGATTATGGTTGAAATAATTTTAAAAGTTGAAGTTTTTCATTCGGATTATTGATATTTCCTTTTAGTAGTTTAGCTTTTCTTTTAACAACACTCATGTTCCAATAAATTAGACTTAAACTAAATTTGTTATGAAAGGGCACAGTGAATCGGGGTACAGTGAATAGGTTGGTTCACTAATGTCCAATTAATGATCTTAAAGATTAAGTTCATGCATTTTTAACAAACAAACTACATGAAAATGAATTTATTAATTTTAAGTTTTTAATAATAATATTTGAATAATTTTTTAATTTTTTAATACTTTTATAAGTTTTGTTATCAATAAAGTTCTTTTTTTTCGTCTCAATTTTCAAAAGGTCTATTTTTACAGTGTCTTTAGCCTTATATTTATTTGACTATGCAGCTAATCACTATAATTAATTCACAGCTGTGTTAATTGATTCACTGTGCCCCAGTAGTGGGGCACAGTGAATAAAGTAACGAAACTCACTCTAAACCTTTCTGTGAGCCGATAGATAATAAATATTTGGGTTTCAGTAATTTATTATCATGAAAAACATATATCTCAATCCTTTCGCCTTGAAAAAATAAAATACATATTTTAACTTTTGCTTAATTTTAAAAATAAAATCCGATCGACTGTGCCCTAACTTAACATATATTTCCAAAAGTAAACTGCACCACCACAATAGTTTCTACCTTAACCGGTCAGATCTCACTGGGTGATGACAAATATACCAACTTATAAAAAAGCATAAATAGTAGTTCTACCAGTTCTTATCTAAGATGGCTATTAAAAACCACTATTAAAACCCACTATTAAAAAATCGCTAAATAAAAAAAATACACTTTTTCATTTTTTTAAGGGTTTAACTTTATGCACAATCAAATAAAAAAAAAAATTTAATTGTTGTTTAAGATCGAACCCTTATACAGCAATCAAGTTTGCCCTTACTTAATTCTCTTGAAAGGTTTGGAGTTCCAAAAAATTACAAAACTTACTAAAAAGGGTCTTAGCATCAGTTTAAAATTCTTTTAAAAAACCTACAGATCTCGATCTCGACATTAACAACTAAGCTCAATACAGTTTTAATGTTAGAAGATCAGAAAATGATGGAGAATTTAATGCCTCTTGTTCTTTTTTTAATGTATACTGTTTTTTAAAGGTTTTTATTTTGTTTTTGTTTTTGTGCTTTAATCCATTTGAAAATTCCCTACTAACAATAAGTTGAAATTTTACAATCTTAGGGAGGTACGACACACCCGCCCCTCAAGCATAACCCAGAAGCTGCGCACGATCCTTCGTCTTTAAAGAAAAAAATAAACTTTGTATGTAAGCTAGTTAACTTGTCGTGAACTAGCATATATAAAAAAATATTATCCTTTTAACCAATGTACCAAATTGGACTTACACGTTTGGCTTCCCCGAAATTGAATGTGAGCATGTAGGTCAACTTAATTTTTATGAAAAAAAAATTACAAAATTACAAAATTTTTATAACAAAAAATGACAAAAAAATCTTTTCGACAGAAAAAAAAGGTATAAAAACGAGCATAAAAATTTTTTAAAAGATGAAACTTGATAGATCTTGTTATTTTCATAAAACTCTTATTACTTTCACGTAATCCCTTCCCTAATATTTCTGAAAATTAATACTATTTTTCAAAAGTATAATTAACAGTTGTGTAAAGATCTTAACATTTGACTCCTCCAACAACTATTGCATAACCTTAATCATACAATAACGATTGTGTTGGGATTGTAATTGCATAAACAAAGGAGGGGGGGTTTAGCTTTATAAACAGATAAAACTGTAATTAAATTTTTTAAAGAGAATACAATTACGTATATATAAACTTTTTTTTTTTCAAATAAATAAAAAGCTTGGAATCAATATTTGTCCTCCAGCCCTGTATTTTTTGCCGATGGCCCTATATAAAAATATTTTTGTAATGACTTGCTTAAGACATCCTTACGGACACTTAAACTGCTGCTGTAAGCAGACAAATTGAAGTTTTAATTACAAAAGGTAGTAATTATTGGAATAAAGTCATTTCTTGTTCACAGTTTTTTGAATATTAAAACTTAACAACTACGCAAGTTGATGCCATAGTATTATTATTTCTTCATAAATATTACTCAAGATAACCTTCTCATAAACAATTGAATCACGCATAGCAGTAGTAAGTGGTATTTTTTTTCTTTTATATGCACATTTATTATACATGTACAATATTTGTTTATATGTATATTAAGGATGCGCCGAGCGTAAAAAGTATCTTCAAACAGTACTTTTTTTCAAGACATTTTTTACACTACTCCAACATTAAAAAATTAGTAATGAAACATAAATAATGTAATAAATAAAAAACATTAAAAACATAATAAATAAGGTAAAATAAAAAATAAAAATAAAAACATTAAATATATGGTAATTTTGGCAGGGTGATAATTTTAGCACCCCTTCAAAAGACACCTAAAATATTTATTTGTTTGGTTGTTCAAATCGTGTTTGGGTATTGTAGCAAGGTAAACAATATTCCTAATAAATAAGGTTTAAACTTCTTTTTTTTTTGTAATATAGGTACGCTGATTTATGATTGTTATCTTTGTCTAAACATTTTTATCTTTTTCAAAATGATAAATGATTTTTTTTTTATGAACTTGTAGCAAAAATTTTTTATTTATTTTACTCACTAACATTTAATAACGCGCTGAATGAAAAATAATCTGAATTATACCTTAAGTGAAAGTTACGTTAAAACTTTTAACTAGCGAAACGCTTTAAAATAAAGGAACAATTTATTGATAAACGCTTTAAAATAAAGTAACAAATTATTGATAATTAAAGTATATGTCACAGTTCTATATAAAGGGGGAGCAATTTTCATAGCAAAAAAATCAATATTCCTGAGACACGAATCGATGCCTATTATTTATAAGATGAAAGTAAAAAAATATTTTTTGATTTTGATTAGATCTTAATGTTCCTCTTTGGATTATAAATTCTTGACGGGTACTAATATTTTTGAATTTTGTTTTAAAACCATATCAACCTTGAACTCAAAAAAGGCAGGAAAAAATGCTTGTTTGATAAATAACAATTTTATTTAAAAAAAATTTCAGTGAAAAAAATATTTGCAAAAATATACCTTGAAACCCCCGTTTTGTCGAAGACTGGGATTTCAAGGTATAAATAGAGCTGTTTTTATGAAAAAAAACAGCTCTATTTTTTTATTTTTTATTTTTTAATTAAAACAAGCAATATTTTCAAAATCAGCATATTATTCTGCTTCTTTTGAGTACCAGGTTGATATAGTTTAGAAGGAAAAAAATTTTTAATAGTATAGTTTGCAGATTTCCACTTTTTTTTTTTATACAAGTAAACAAATCGTTGAACAGCAAGTCTAAAACCAACGTATTTATATTTTGCAAATTTTGGCTAATGCTACAATATATACGCTGCGTGGACTACTAATTCTTGTTAGTAATTAAGTTACTGCAAGTGTTAGTAATTAAAATTAAAGTAATTAAATTACAGTTAGTGTTAGTTATTAAATTACTAACAACTACCAAAAATATTTTGTTTATATGCTATGCAAATTAAGGTAGCCATAGCAACCAAAAAAAAATTAACCTCAGAATTTTGAACCTCATTTTACTACATACTCCCAATATTGCGAACTTAGCGCAAATAAAATACTGTTAAAACAATGTTAATGTAAAAATGAGTAGTTGCTATGCAATATTTAGTACCATGGCAACCAATTTAAAACATGTGATATCTGAAGGGGATGAATTTAAGGGAATAATCAACTCAAACTTGATTAAAGCATCATATAGCTTAAACAAAAATAAGGCAGCACATGGTAATTATTAGTTATAGTGCGGCAAAAAATAAATTTCTTAGTGTTTTTTTTTTTTAATTTGTGATTTTCAAAGTATAACTGAAATAACTTGCTATGACATATTTATTTAACACATTGGCTTTTCTTATCTTTAAATACTCTAGAATAACATGTACTAATTATTCGTAGATGTAATTAAAATATAACAGTGTTGATGTCACCGTAAATTACTTATTTAAAATTTTTTTTAAATTTCAATATTGAAATGCTTAGAATCATGGTAACAAAGGGATTTAATATAAATAAATTATCAATAAATTTCTCCTAATATATGTAGATACTAAAATTAAATAAGTTTTCAAGATTAAGACAAGACAACTAAAATTTTTCCCATTTTGTCCACCTACTAGTCCGCTGTGCACTGGGTAACCGACTAAAAAAATAATAAAACAAAAATATCCTCGATTTTATTGTGCGGCCCCTTATGCGTTAGGGCAACCGAACATAAGAGGCCCGATAATAAAATTGCGCACCTGGTGCTGGGTGAGCCCTGCTGTTAATACAGAACTGACGGTACATTTAATTGCTTTTTTATTACACTAGTTTTATTACGGTAGTGAACACCTTTATTACGATCACTGAAATATAACGCAGAACAGAAACATGACAAAAATAGTTATTTTAAAATAAATAATTAATTAATACGAGCGTTACGATAAGTTATATATATAAGTATTTAGATACAATCATAAAAAGTATTTTGGCTTTATCTAAAGTGTTAAACTATATTGTTTTTGGAAAGAAATTTAATTTTCTCAGAAACAGAAATTATGTTCTGACATACCATTAAGGTGGCTCTACCCCTTTTTTTCTAAATTCTTTAAAAATTAAAAAAAATGCCTTTGCACTAAGTTAACTGTTGATATATTTAATGAAAAAAAAAATTTGACAAAAAGTTTTTAGAAAAGCTGAAAAAAAAAAGCTGTGTCAGCAAAAATTATTAAAAAAGTATCAAATTTTAAACATTAGTTTCTCAAAATCTGTAAATAATATTTGAACCAAATTTTGACAGCATAAAGGTAAAGTGGTAAAGTAGGTTCTGAACTAAAATCAAAATTTGAAAAGGTACTAATCCATAATGGCTGACAATTATTTTTGAGCATTGAAAAATAAGGTCATTTTAGCAAATCAAAGTGCGATTATACAAGATCCATTTGTTCTAAATAGTTGTTTTTAGTTCAGAACCTAGTTCCAATATTAAAGAAAAGTCTGTGAAAATTTCAAGTCAATCGGTTAAACAGAAGTACTAAAAACTGTTGTTTGAATTTAAGTGAACGTAACAAAAACTTATTTCTGAGAAAAATGAAAAACAAAATTAAAAATTAAATAAATAGTATACAAACATGAAACTAGTGTGCCCCAGAACTATAAGTTTCACCCTCTGTCTCTTTTTCTTTGTCAAAGAATCCTTTTTTAAATGCACTCATACTTTTCCTCTGTTTTTTCTTTTTTTCGCTTATTTTACTACTAACTTGTTTGATACAAGTACTGTCCTTTTTTGTTGCATACAAAAAAAAGTATTTCCCAGGAGTCAAATTTAATAGTTTAAATACACGATTAAGTCCTATAACACCTTCATTATAATTTATGATAGCAGAATATACTCCTATCTCTAAAACAGTTCTTGACACAAAACAAGACTTTGGGCACTTATTCCAAATTAATTGGTTTAAAGCTTCATTTGGGTTTTGGGTAAACCCATGTAACCATTTTTAAACACTTTTTCCATGTAACCATGTAAACACTTTTTCAGAAGATCTTCAGAGCCAAGATCTTTAAAGATGCCTTCAATTTCTTTTTTTATAGCCATTTAAATGTGCTTTGTAGGTATTTTACCTTCAAGTTTATCTTTTTGCCATTTACACCAGCTCTTTGTTGTTCGAGGGCAAAACAAATGGCGACTTTCTGAATTTATGTCAGAACAATGATATAAAACTGCACCAACTGCATGCCTCATTAGGGGTAGTTCTTTATTCTGCCTTATGGCCATCCCATAAAAGTTTTGCAAAGTGTTAATTGCTAAATCTGTTAACCTACCCCTACCATTAATTTTTTTTCCATCAGAGAGCAATTTACCTTTTAACTCTTTTCTTTTGTTGCGCAGGCGTGCATCAAGGCGCTTTTGAATGTGGCCAATACATTCCCATTTAATGGGAGTCAACTCATCACCATATGGTTTAGGCTGTACTACATCATTAAATGAGGCAGTATCTCCATCACCTATGTAGTGTGCGTATCTTAAACCATATTTTTCAACTGATGAGTGAAATATTTCTATAGCTCCCGCGGATTCTATTGCTCCGGACGATTTTGAGTGGTTAATATCACAACGGTAATTTGCTTTCCAATGTTCATATTCAAGAGTATTTTTTTTTTCTTCCAGACAGCACAACTCTTACAGAACTTAGACATAACATGAACATCTAAAACTTTTTTATTGTCTTTGGAGATAGCTGAAACAACACCATTTAAAGAAGAATATCCTCGCTTCTGCCATGTTCTATCTAAGCTGACATCACAATCAACTGGAAGTTGATGTATTGAAGAACCAGTATTTGCAGAAGTTCTAATCTCGTTTGCAGCTTTTTTCATACATTTAGATGAAGCAGAGTCATAAACATTATGTAAAAGATTATTAATGTTTTTATATGAATTAAAAGTCATTGGAGGTTGCATATTCATACATCCAGCAAATGTCTTTAAAGCTTCATGTCCACAACCAATTTCGCGAAAACTCATTACAGCACGTACATTGACTTCTTGAATGTGTTTATTTTTTATTGCAGGAGATGAGTAAAAGTTATAACTCCAATCACAAGATATACATTCTAGTTTAATGTTATGCGAAAGTCCTAATTTTTTTATTTGGTCAAGACTGACAGTGACCTAGTCGCCACATTCTAGGCATCTACTCAAAAGTTGAAGACAACTTTGCAGTACTCCAAAGTGAATTATTATAAAGAATTTAGAATCTTCTTTTTCAACAGTTAAAAGTGAATTATCTAAACTAATTTTTGATGATGAAACAGCTTCCTTTACTATTGGTTTATCAATTTGATTTATTGTAGCACATGTATATCTGTTAGATAAAAACTTTTTCTGATCTTTTTCTGATCAATCTTATTTTATTTTTATTATTACCCATATTTAATCACTCTATAAACATATAAAGAACAAGTGCAGTTATTTGTATTATTAAGATAGATAAAAAATATTGGATGAGGCCACTGTGTTGACTTCAACATAACATAAACAACATTACTTCTTGTTAATTAAATGTCATCATTTAAATGAAAACTATAACTTGTAAATAACAGAATGCCGTAAAACAAAGTAAACAAATTAAAAAATGCATTTTGTTGTTCAAAATTATAAGTTTTTTGTCAAAAAATGGGCAGATAAAACAAAGCTGACGCGGTTGCTAAGGTGTTGCTATGGATAACATCTCAAATGACATATTTTTGGAATCTGCAATGCTTAAACTAGATAAAGAAGCAATAAAAAAATATGATTTTTTTTTGTTTTTTACATTTTTAAGAGGGTTGAACCACCTTAAATTAAAAGCATAAAAATAAAATATCCTGTACAGATACAAGAATATCTCAGCGGAATACACAACAATGCTCTTAATAACTTAAAGTAAAAGTATGATATTGAGAATCTTTTTCCAGCAATAAACTACATTATTAGTTACAAAAAAATAAAACAGGAAACCAAAAAAAAAAGAAAAGAAAAAAAGAGCAGCATTAAGTTATTCTTTTTTTTGCAAGCAGAACTGTTAAAAAAGAACAAAAATTTTATTTATTTTTTCTCTTTTCATTTCATTATTGAATTTGTATAAATAATATAAACGAGATCAAAGCACCAGTACTGCTTAATTTTTATTTTGATAGATATGGCTGGAAAAAGAGATAAAGAAGATTATCTAAAAGATCTTTATTTGGAACGCAAGCGTTTATCAACATACATCGTCAAAAAAGTTTTTCTTTATCTCAAAGAAACATAGAAACTGTAGAATCTAGAGGTCAATCTGGCGGCAGTAATACATATTCAGGTATATTCGTAAACATATTTTGTATAATGAGATATGAAAAAGTCTAGCTAATGAAAATAGAACGTAATAATAATAATATTATAAAATTATAACCGATAAAAATACTCTTATACAGTCATTAAATCGGTCTTTAATTTGCGTTGATACGTGAAATATATTTTAACGAATTTATTTTTATATTATAGTTTCGAACTCTGATACTGACGATGATCAAATTATAAAATCAGTTTGTAAAATGAAGCCATTGTCCATTAAGTCACTTTTTTCATTTGTTTCCGAAGCTAATAAATATATTTGTTTGATGTGTCCAGAAAATGGAAAACTTATATGTGGGCCTGAGCCAAATCTGCGAAAACATATATTTCATATTCATAAAAAACCGGAGTACCTTTACGATTCTCAAAAAAAAAAATTGCTCAAGATCAATTCCTCGAAACGCAGAACAGAGATGACATAGATGAAGCCTTAATAAATTGTATTATTCAAGATAGCCGCCCTTTCAACGATTTTCATAAACCTGATATTCAACTCCTTCTAAACATTCTTGCTCCGCATTACAAGCCGCCTCATAGAAAGACAATAGCTAATCAATTAAGAAAACGGTATTATCAATACAAGAACGATCTTAAAGCTAAGCTTAAATTAGTTGCCTACATAGCACTAGCAACAGATTTGTGGAAAAATTGAGTTGGATCGTATTGGCTTTGCATAACAGTGCATTACTTAACAAAAAAATTTAAATACAAATCAAAAATAGTTTGTTTTCGTAGGTATTATGGAAGGCAATTAAGTAATAGACTTACAGCATTTGTACAAAAATAAATTAATAAACTTGAAATTGAATCTAAAATTGTTTCAATTACAACTGACAACACTGAAGATATTAAAAAGGCGATTGGACCTATTGCTTTACGACTTTCATGCATTTGTCATAATTTAAATCTTGTTTTGAACCATGGAATCAAATTGTGGACTAAACCATCACATAACTTATTAGATAGCACAGCAGATGTAGATGAAGATCTTATATATTACAATAATTATAATGAAAGCGATATCGAATCAAATGGAAATAGTTCATCTGACGATCAAGAAAAAATTGCATGCACTTATGACAAAGAAGACGTTAGCTCAGATGATGAAGAAAGTAGCGAGGAGGAGCAGGCGTCAACCAATGAAAATGTTGAACAGTTATTCATTTATTCATCAATCATATTATTCAGGTTAAGAAAGACGATAGTTAATGTTAAACAGTCTTCTGTTTTGCAATCATTTGTTTTTAGTGAGATTAAGAAGCAGGGACTGAAATTAAAAAAACTTTTCGTCAGATTTTCATGTACGTTGGAACTCAACATTTTTGATGATTAGTAAGATAATAAAAGCGAAATATGTTTATAATAAAATTACCATAGATCCTGGCACTATCGATGGGTTAACAGAAAAACAGATTAATAAACTCAAGAAACTAGCTTTGTTATCAGATGACTGGAAGTTCCTAGACATTTTACATTATAACCTTGCTCCATTTTTTGAAGCAACTAAACTTCTCTCTACTAAAAATTTTCCAACACTTTCTTCAGAAAAATTCGTCCAAAATACGTTAATGAACTTTCTTGAAAATGAATCTTCAGCTAAATGTTTTCTTTTACAACCATCTCCTACGGTGGAAAGAGAGAACATGTTACGAGCTAGTCTTCTCAAGTTCATGAAGGTATACTTTGTTGAAATATGTCTACAAAACAAAAGCTGCAAAGTTTGCTAGCATGTTTCTTTGATCCGAGAACAAACGAGTGTCTTACAGAAAAAGAATATCAAGAAGCAGAAAGCAAACTTATGAAAAAATTTGCAAAGTCAGCACTCCGACAATATCCTCGAAGATCAACGCATACAAACATTTGTTTGCAAAATGAACAAAATTATTCGAGAAGTGGTTAGTTATAAACCTAAAATTTATGTTTGTTAAAAAACATTTGTTTTTAAATTTATATAAAAATTTTACTTTTTTTACATTTTCATTGTTGTTAAAAAATAGATTACATTTCAGCTAATATAAATACTTGTTTTTATTTTTAGACATAATTGATTCAAGTAATGATGTTCAATTTAATGTTTCACCTGAAGTTCCTGTTAAACGCAAAAATGGGTTTGCTAAGCTTGCAACATTGTGTGGTTTTAATCTGTGCGAAGAAAAAACACAGTCAAAACGAAATATAAAAGAGGAGTTATCTTTTTTCAATTATACTATAAAAGCAAAAACTTGGAAATTCGATGAATTTTACTACAAGTATAAAAACGATATTCCAATGTTAGCCTCTAAAGCAAGAGAGGTATGTACTTCACCTGCTAGTTCGGTACGGCCAGAATCCTCATTTAGTGTTGCTAACTTTATTCATCGCAAAGAAAGAAGTAACTTAAGCTCGAGAAACCTGCGGTACTCGATGCTACTTAAAGAGAAGAATTGAAATTTTACTTTAAAACTTTGTATTTAACTGAAAATGAGGAAAAGTATTTTAACCAGTATTTTAAAAAGTATTTTGCTTTTTTGAACCATCCTACTAAATTTGTTTAAAAAAACAAATTAAAATAAGCGGTTGTTGTAGTTATGAAAAGTTATAAATTTTTTTTAAGTTAATTTTAAAGTTACTTTTACTATTTTAACTTTAACTTTTTTAATGTTATTTACATCAGTTATTTAAATATTGCTTTTAAAAGACTGTCTGGTTTATTGTTCTTGCTTTGGAAATGGCTCTGCATTTTGCAATTTTGTTCTAAGTTTTGCATTTTGGCTTCTTTTATTCAGCGTGGTTGTTGTTAAAAACCAATCTAACCAAAATCAAAGTTATTTCTTGAAATGACTAACTAGAATAACTGTTAGATATTAGAATAATAAAGGAATAATTAATGTCTGGAATAGGCTATTTGAAATTAGTTAATTCCAGACAACAGCTTTATGAATAGATATTAATAAATAAACAAAAACAAAAAAAATTTTCATTTCTGTTAGAGTGGTTGTTACGACCAGGACCAGGGTGGTGAAGGGGGTATCACACCCCAAGCTGTTATGTATGCATTTGAGTTAGCGCATTAGCGTTAACAACAACCACACTGATTAAGAGAAGCAAAAAGCAGCAGCATAGCTACAAATATGCACGACTCTTTTATGGTAAATTTTTATCAGGGGCATTAAATTATTTCCTCCTGACAAAAAAATTAATACTAAAACAAATAAATAAAAAAAAAATGCCTTTTTAAAGGTTTTTTGCAAAAATCATTCTTTCTAAAAAGTTAAAGACCTCAATTATTAGAGAAAAACAAAATATTAGAGAAAAAAATAAAGGGTACAACCCTCTTTGCAGGAAACAAATTTAACATGCAATTTCATTGGGACTACCCAAATGCTGTCATGATAAAGTAAAATCAAATTAAAGTCTAAAAGATAAAGTAAAATAATTATAAAAAAAAAATAGATTCTAAAAAGTGGAGTTCTCCCATGGGCTCTGAAGAGAATTTTAAGATTTACTTTTATTAAATTTACACATATGCTGGAAGTTTCAGAGCTCTAGCTAGTCCGGAAGGTAGTGAAAAATCAATCGCAAGATTCCGGGACAACTGATAGCCGACAAACATCTTGTAAAGTCAAAATAAAGTTTTGAAAAAAAAAATTACAAGTTTATTCTAAAGCGCTATTTTAATTGAATAAGATTTTATTTGTCCTATTGTCCTTGTGCGGGTTGGACACCAACGCAACAAAAAGTAGGTTATTAGGGTGCCCATAACCTATATTAGAAGATTAAACAGCTTTTCTTACCATCTTTTTTCAATAGAAATTTCATTATATATGATAAAACGCAATATAATTTCATTATATATGATAAAACGCAATATAATTTCATTATATATGATAAAACGCAATATAATTTCATTATATATGATAAAACGCAATATAATTTCATTATATATGATAAAACGCAATATAATTTCATTATATATGATAAAACGCAATATAATTTCATTTATGATAAAACGCAATAAAAGATTAAATCTGATAAACACTCCTTTAATCATATAAATTATAACTTATAGTTTATATGACTTATAATTTTTTGAAAACTGTTGTAGCAGTCGATGTCCTTGCGGGTACCAAAAATATTATATTGCGTCATATTACCATAACAAAATACTTGATTGAAAAGGCAAATACAAAGAAAAAAACTGGAGAAAAAGCGCGCTTTAACGAACAGTCAGGGTTTACACATGCACGAATTACCCATAGCTAAGAAATTATGCTCCTTTCCTCCCCCGACAAAGTTTCATTACGGCCACTAACCTATTTCTACTTAACAAAAAAAAAAAGAAATAAAAAATCAATGATTATTTACCAGCTTCTATTAGCACTCATGCGGCAGGGTTCCCGTCTCTACAATACCGTTATTCCCGCATGACTATATTTGTCTCTAATTATAATAGAACTACCGTTTTTGATATACGTGAAAAAAATTTTTTTCCTGATGCCCCACCACATACTTGCCCAAATACCTGAAGTAGTACCCAGAAGTACACAGAAAATGGATTTGAATACGCTAATCATCTCAAAATTTACGTTAAATCAACATTAATTGAATGTTCTTTAAGAAAGTAAATAATATAACTTACATTTTCTTTCTTACAAAGTATAGTATAAAATTTCGAAGAAAAAATTACTTTTATTTGTAAAAGTAAATAACAATTTTTTTCAAATTACTTTTATGTAAGCTAATTAATGCTTACTAGTTACTTTTACACGTAAAAGAATTTTTTTGTTATGATGTAGTTTTATTTTACTTGGTAAAGTAAGTGTTATGCTTTTTAAATATTATATTTACGTAAGTTTACTTCATAAATAACTTTTTTTACATTTAAAAAGTAAATTACATTTCGATGTAAATTTTTTTACATAATTATAACCAAAATTACTTTTAAAAGTAATTTACTTTACACGACTTACCATTATAAGTAAGTTACTTTTACAAGTAAAAGTAAAAATGCAAAGAACTTTTACTTGTAAAAGTAAATTACTTTTTCAAGTAACACTTACTCATTTAAAAAACTTAACTTAAGTAATTAAGTTTTACACGTTATATAATTTACGTAAAAAAAAAACGAATTACTTTTAAATGTAAGTAAGTTATATATTTTTATATAAGTTATGTAAAGTAATTTGCGCTTAAAAGTAATTCGTGTTTTTACATCAAAATAAGTAAAAGTGCCATCCCTAGTTTAGTATGAACATAAGGTTAATTGAATGTTTTGTACGCGCACATGTAATACCGAGAAGTTTTACTATTGGAGTCGGAGTCGTGATTTTGTTCAGCGACTCCGACTCCGACTTCGACTGCGTTGAAAATGTCGCAACTCCACAACTCCGACTCCGACTCCACAGCCCTGATTGAAAAGCCCCTGCATTGCTCACAAGTATGATCATTGATGAACAAAAAAGACCTTGGCAATCTCAGTCGCTCTAATGTTTGAAAAATATGATCACATGAAACGGATACATGTTGTAGACCATTAAAATGATCCTTGAAGTCTCGAAACTGAAATAATCTTTTCAGAGGAGTTTCCAAATATTATTGTGAAATTTGTATTTCATTTTGTTCATTTTGTTTCTAAATGATGAAGCAACCCATCATGTACTGAGAATTCGCCCAATCTTAAGAAGACAAAGTTCCACCTCAATTGCTGTTGCAGAAAACTATTTCTTTGTTTTTTAAAGACTGACTGCTGACAAACCATAAAGAGTATCAATGTGAGTATCGAAGATGATTACCCAGTGGGAAAAAAGATATCTTTAGACGAATAAAAGACGTCTTTTTTATGACTTGTTATGTCTTTTTATAATCAGCCTAAATAAAGACGTAGAAAAAACGTCTTTTAAAAAGACGTCTTCAAAAAAGAGGTCGAAAAGACGTCAATCGGTTGTACGTCTTCAATAAGACGTAGAAAAGACGTCTTTTATATCGATGACCTTTACAAAAAAGAAATGAGAAAATTTTCATTTAAATGTTAAATTAAACAACTCCCAGTAGAATTTTTTTTCTTTAAAAAGAGGAGAGGAAAATTCACTAACGTTTCCCACTGGTAAACAACTTAAGTTGTTTATAAGCAAATCATAGGTTGCTTATTATAATTATAATAAACAAATTATTATTTGCTTATTAACAACTATCGTTGTTAATAGGCAAATCATTATTTGCTTAAGAAAATTAAAACTAATTATTGAATCTATAGAACCTAACATAGATGGGTTTTAACCCACAGTACCGTAATTACGATATCTTTGTTACGTTCTGATTGCCCGTTTTTCGTTTACAAAATACTTTAATAAAACTTTTTTTTATGTGAAACGTTTTTGCATAGAAAATTTAATTAAAAATTAACTATTTTCGGTAAGCAGGTTTATTTTATAATTTATATGATTAAATATAGGAGAATAATTTATAAATAATTATTTATACTTTTATATTGACATCTAAAAGAGGTTTTTTTCGCGGCATCGGAAAGAGTTTTTTGTTATACTTTGTATGAAAAGCTTTTATTATTTTCATTTGATAAAAACAGTTTTTCGTAAATGAAAAGTAGAAATACTATAGTGTATAGGATACTATAGTATTCTTATAAGTATGGTTCCGACCCCGAGCAAAAAAACTTTTTTAGAAGTGCGTAATTGATAAACAAAGACGTCTTAAAGACGCATTTTTTTATGTCTTTTCATTACAAGATAAAAACAAAAAAGACGCCTTTCTAATGTCGAAAAAAAGATATCGATTAGATTTGCATATTCGATTTAAAAAAAACGTCTTAAAGACATCGTAAATAAGGCTTTTAGAGTCGTCTTTTCGACGTCTTTTTTTCCACTGGGTAATCACGTTGCGTGTGATAAATAATTGAATAAATAGATCATTTTCATCTATTTTGCTGTATCATACAAAATTGAGTAACTTTTTTCTTTTAATATGTTTCAGCTCCCCCCCCCCCCCACACACACACACACGCACCTTTCGCGACCTTCCTACGCCACTATATAGTGTATACGATATATAATAATATTTATAATATATTTTAAAAAGTTGGTAAAATATATATTTTTTTCTATATATATAAAAATATCAACATATATACGGTATGTTGATTTTTTTAGTTATAAATATTTTTATATCCTTTCATTCGTTCAGCTGTGATGGCCGAGTGGTTAAGGCGTTTGACTAGAAATCAAATGGGATCTTCCCGCGTAGGTTCAAATCCTACTCATAGCGTATATTTTGGATAAATATCATGTTTTAAATATTGCCGTCTCTGATCGATTTTATTAATTCAAAGGGTCAAAATTAATAAAGGACGACTTAAACAAAGAATATAGTTTATTTTCTTATAGACTATATAGTTAAGACGTCTATATTCTTATACACCACGGCTTTTTCAGGCAATCTAAAATTGGGCATTACGTCACGAGTTTAGTACAAAAATAACAATTTTTGCATAACAAGTTTAAA